TTAGTAACAGATGTGAATAAATTTAGCTTGATGTTCGGTTAGCATAACGGAGCACATAACGAAGATTTTCTCTGGGCTTAAAGAAAGCATTTCGAAGGCGACATTAATATCTAAAAAAAAAAAACGGGAAAATTTGGCCATAACTCATAAACCTCGATCCGTTTCTCAGTTAAACATGGATCAAGCCTTTGTGGTAGCGCGGTGGTAATGTCTTTGCCCACTAAATCTAGGGACAGGTGGCGGGCTTAGCTGGAATCTGTTCGCTTCGTGCTGATAGGAGGTAGTTGTCAGAAGTAGCGAACGGTTTAGGTAGCCGCCAGCATAGAACTTTTATTTCAACATGTATTAGTTAATCAAATTAAAATATCTAAGTGCATGTCGGAAATACAAGCTGTGTTAATGCGCCACAAAAATCTGATGTTACGGGAAAAGAAAGGCTTCAGAGAAACGCCTAACCATAATATTGGCGGTGACTGCCTACTGATCATAGGTAAGTTTATCGAAAACCAAAATATAAAACCTCGGCTAAATTTAGAGCGGCTATGACCTTTGCGATATGAAAGAAAGCCTTAGCTTGGTCTTAAACATGACCATGCACAATCAAGGTGAACTCGTGTGATGACCAAATGATCTTCCCTAATATCGTACTCTTCTACTCGATACTTAGAAAATCGCACTATCAGCATTACAATCTAGGGGAATTTCGTCGCACGCCTGATGAGAAATAGGTTATCGCATATGCAACTCGACATATCTGCAGAAAACCGTCTAGAAAGGCCAGCGTTCTTTTCCAGCCATTATAACATTACATAACAGTTAGGATCTACGTAAAACGTTCATTGATTTGGACATAAGTCATCGCACGCCCGTGATCACGTTGACGTCAAGCATGGTAAACGGACAAACGCATTAACAATATACATCCATAATTTGTCTTAATCTTCGCTCTCCAACTAGATGGTAGCCAGCGCATCAATCACATAAAACCATATCGGCACTACTGACTATTTATTACTACGAAGGCGCCATTCAGACGGAAAGAGACATGTGGCGCACAAGATCTCCTAGGTCCGCGTAGTGGAGAGAACACTACTTGAGAAGGAGACCGCCGGTTCATTGTATTTTACGAAGTTGCTCCACCTGTAATGCCGCCGCTGTAACAGCTGCGGTGGCTGCAGAAGCAAAATCACTCAGCGATGTTTCGCATCGAACGATGATCCACATTGTCAACCCAGACTGCGTCTAGTCTCACGGCTAACTGCATTCGTAGCGTGCCGCACGAATTTCGCGGCCCGTGCCTTTTATAAGCGCGCGTATTCATTTAGTGAGTGTTTCCGAGTGTGTGCTCAGGGAAGTTTGTCATTTGCACATGAGGAATGGATGTGGAAAAATAACGTGTTTTTGTGAAGTGAAGTGAAATGAAGGCGCCGCAACGATTCGTCGTTTTTCAGCAGAAACAAAATATCAGAAGTTTATATTGATGGTGATATAGTCGTTCCACGGTTCACAGGATAGTTGATCGTTTTGTCACAGGTTGTAAGCATTTGAAGACTCAAAAAAAAAAAAGAAAGCTTTGAGAAAAAAAAATTCATATTCTCCGCTGTATGTTAGAAGAGGCAGTATAATTTAATCGTTATTATATATATTAACCTGCCATTAAAATGTCAGCTACCTAGCTAAAATACCTCAAACGTGTAATTAAATTAAGGAGTAATTAAATTTAATGCTATATGGAAAGTCATTCTTGGTTTGAGTGTTGGCCTCTACAGCTTAGTGCAGTCTACACTACAGAAATGTTATCAGAAGTAATATTTCGTGAGTAGATTCACACGCGATACGAGAAGACAGATGATTAAAAACAACTTATTTTTAAAAAAAAAAAACTTAGTTGTGTTGCCAGGATAGTTTGGCATGTCTGATCTCCAAGCTGCAAACACAAATGGAAATCTACTATGAACGTAGGTCAAACGAGACAATCAGTGGTCGTAATAGGTCCACCAAAGACGTAATTTGGCAATTATGAAAGATCGCTCAGAGTCACCCTTTAAAAAACCAATACTTCAAATTTAAGCAACTATTTTTAGTTTAAATAATGCGTAAGAACCTTCGGGACTCGTTAAGCAAAATAGGGTTTCGGTGGTTTACAGACTCGTACGGTGGATCAAGATGTAATCATCTTAAATTCGCCTTACAAAGTCTTAGGTTGCAGGAATCTATTTAAGATTCTTCCATCGTTAAAATAAGTTCCAAACGCGGTCAGACAAAGTTTCTTTTCTCAATAATGCAACCCCTAGACCGCACTGCAGTGGTCACGCTTTAATATGTCATCTTTGTACGAAGACGAATATAGCAGTAAAATTAGAGAAACGGAACAGAAGCGCAGAACGATCGTTTTACTTTTCGGCTCGTTATCGCAAGGGGACATTGTCCCGAAAGCAGGAGGCTAACACTGTGTAGGCGAACACAAACTTATTAGGCTCTTTCTAGTTGTAGACTTGTAAATATACATGCATAAAATTCCTTTGATACCTTGTATGTGTACCTGAGTAATTATCATGTTCATTGCCGGCAAATCCCGGCGGAGCCTACCTAAATAGCACCAGGTAGGTGATTATTGCGCCCGAAAGATCGTAACTATGACGAAAACGGGGCAAGTAGGAGTGCCTAAATCAAATTGTTGGCAGAATCCTAATCTTCAAGATAGGTATTTTCAATATAAATAGGTCGTGTTCTTGTCTGAGTACGTATCCAATCGTTTCTAATACCCTGACCTTTAGGTTCATTTCATAACTAATCGGTTCCACCAAGCTGTTTCTGGCTTGTCAACGTCAAGATGTGTCTTTCGTTTCTAACAGTTATTTATTATTTACCTGTCTTTGTTTACCAGTGTTTTCGATTGACAGTTCGGTTCTACCTTGAAATCATTAATGGGTTACAGATGTTTGAAATGTACAGGGCCACTTGTGGCTTGTTAGCACTATTCTGTATACCACTGGTAGCCTCTCGATTAAGCAGATGGCCTTAAAGCTCTACAATATCCTTATAGAGAGAGATAATGAGGTTTGAAAGCGATAGTCCATATATTACAGTGTGCCTCAATAGAAAAACAACACGCCGATCGATGGCCGCTTTAGAAGAACTTTCTGTGAGAAGCACGCAGTCGTATTTCTGACGGTTATGGAATTTCGTGGTGAATGCCACAAGTTCTGTTTTCACCTACCTCTATAACAATTGATGCTAATGCGGTACATCTTCCTTATTTTCGCTCTATTTTCAAATAAACTGAGACATCCAAGGTCCCCCACGTCTACATCCTTTCGCTTTATAAAAGAAGCATTGTTAAACAGGTACCGCTGCAGGTATAAAAAACAGCCTTTGATCACGGATGCGACCGGGCTGGTTGATAAAGCATGACGTTCAAGCAACTGTTGGAAAGTGTTTTTATGAAGCCAGCAATCGAAAGGACAGAAATAAGGATGTAAACGATAATGATGGCTATTTGAATAGATTATTCCGCGTAACAAGTCTCTCGCAGATATACCGAATCCACTTACATTATGTCATATGTGGTACTGACTAGTACGTGTTGCTAGATCGTCGTTTTCGACTCGGAATGCGCGCAAATTATTAAACTTAGTATTGGTTAATTGGACGCACAAAGATTCGATGAAATGGTAATTTCTGCGTCTGCGCTTACTTATGAAACTAGCTAACGGTAATCTATTAAACGACATGTTAAACTAGCAGGCTTGCCCTGATCATGGATCGTTGTCCGAGTGGGATTTTGTGTCATATCCTTAAGCGATAATCGAAAGTTCTTTATTCTACTGATATTTATTAAAATTTGATGTGGAGTCCGTTCATAAGAGAAGGAAAACTACTTTGATACTGAAAAGGCCTTATAAATGTATCGTGCTGGCCTACCGAAGCGGGATTACCGCTGAAATTGTATGCTTACTGATCTCGACTTTCACGCTTAGCCTCAAGGACCCTTTTGAACGAAGTCCGATTGTAACTACTCACTTAGCGGAGATCAACTGTTCCAGTTGGAGTATTTGGGGGTGGACGGTATGTCTGAATTCCGCAGTAGAAGCATGAACGTAGAAGCGTGATACATTTTGCAGTACGCGAAGTCATTAGGGTACGCACTGCCATATGTGATTAGTTCTTATACAAGTTGATACGACAGTTTTATAGTTGCAATTATGGTTAAGTCAATCTATTTGCTTTATAGTGCATGGTTGATATAGTGGAAAAACGCTTGTTCAAACTGGTCCAATGTCGAAAAATCTATTGAAGGTTTATAATATTACGTTCATCGTCATTTGGTAGTGAGGCAGAACGCGATTTGTCGAACAGCGGATCGGTCGTCGACATACATTAATGCATTCACATAGGGAACCATTAATAACGCTCTGTTCATTCAACTACACGAATCGTCCTTCATATCCTCCTGCATCGATAATAAACAGAAACCCTGGCGGGATGCTTAACCTTCATGGGGCCAATCAAGGTTATGGACTAATGTGGAGGTTGTAAACGAGGAGTTTGATCTCTCTGGTGGTCAGTAAATTTGTTCACTAGGGAAAGCCTAACATGTCATAGCAAAATTAGGCTGAAGGAGTTTATGACACAGGCTGAGGATAAAAGACGGTTGAGAAGTGAGGGCATCTAGGAAAGGGTAATAGATGCCGATGCTTCCTAATCTCGACAAATATTTCACCAACCGAGAGAACGCGGCAACGATAATCGGAACCCCGCGGAGGCGAATGCCAAACAGAAGACTCCTAGACAAGATAATCAATTTTATATAATTGTACACAGGGCAAAGCGAAAGTCTCTTGGTAATTAGATTTACATCTTTACAATGTATATATATAATGTTTGTCAAGGGACTTGTTTTGTCCTGTATATTTAAATGAAGATGCCTCATATTCATACTGATATCATTTATTCATAAATGAAAAAAAAACACACAGGACAAACATTGACGGCAACTTCAACCGATTCCCCGGATGAGACGTAACTAGGGCGTTAAAAATTAACATACTTCTTCCAAAAAGGTTGTTAAAGATAACAAAAATTCTGAAACTTAAAACGAACCCTGAATTACGTTCCGCTTTGCGATATAAGTCGTATAATAGAATACATTTACTAAATAAAAATTGCTATCTCATTAAACCCTATTAAAAATTAAAAAAATAGTTACAAAAAATTGTGATCATGATGTAGCAATTATCTCGGTCCGGTCAGTTTTTAGAAGTCAGGACGTAGTGCTGGGTTAGTGAGATCACAAAGCTTGATGCTCTCATCAATCTTCCATTATGGTTTTCAGAAACTGACAGCAGTTAGTCTGTTTACGACAATGATGACTGAATAGTAAGTACTGCCAGTCGTAATTTAAGAACGGCAGGCAACTTGAAGAGAGATCAGAACTGCTCATATCTACACAGATTACCCGTCGTAGTCGTGAAAACACCATGGTTAGCAAAATCTGTCCATCAGTCAATGGGGACCCCAGCAAGGAGCCGCCGGCTGCGCTCCAATATGGCAACAAGGTAGGTACAACAAGTGAATCTCTACATAATTTCCTTTGCAATTTGTGAGCGTTCTAATAACTGACGTCTTTTTTCGTAGAAACCTTTTTTTCGTGTTCTGACAAGCATGATCATATTAAGAGTATTTGGTTAAGTCATTCAAATCGACGTTTTTTAGTAAGCTGTATAAATATATACTAATATTTAGACGAGCATTGCCACTAATCCACTAAAACGCATAATCGGACCGTAATTTCAAACATAGATTAGCTTCGTAAAGCATATAGGTATCCCTCTATATAACTCGCCATGGAGTTGTCTTCGAACAACAGGCAAACTACATATATTCTGCTTGTCCACAAAGCATGTCACTTTGATTTAAAATATGCGGAACTTACTCTATCTACGAAAGCACAGAGTTACAAAGAACTTTACATGCGGTTCTGATCAATTTAAGTTTAAGCGGAAGGTCGACAGTAATTAGGGTCTCATAATGAACAGGAGTTATCGACCAGGTGATTCAGATAAAAGCCGAATTGATGCGGCGGGGTTTTTGCCAAGACATGCAAGTAATCCGCAAAGAATTGCATGTATATCTTTTATACGTACGGTATTATTTAGAAAAGCAAATAGTGAATATAGGTAGGACGCCGACAATGCAGCGATCCATCTGAGTGTCATCGAAACATGTATTCGAAACAATCTGTACTTCTTCTTAGAGTGAACGCTCCGTGGTCCGTTTAGCATTTTGTTGGGCCGATCCAAAAATGTTCTGGACGAGAAAGGGCGACAAAGATACATGCTTAAATAGGTCCGTAAAAAATGTACATCGCATTTCTCGAAAAAATTAATGCCAGTCTGCAGTTATTAAATTAAAGTGCATTTTTACTAAACATATTATTTTTACAGTCTAACTATGGACGTGTAATAAGTTAGAGATTCTCAGCCTAACTAGCTTGAGTACAGTCGTCGACAGTCGACCTGTCAAGCATTTATGGAATCACCTTTGCTAGGTACTTAACGCCACCAATTAATTTATCATTAAACCATCGGCACGGTGGCTTAGACGGGTAAAAGAGCCAGTGATGCACATTCCGCTAAAAACATCCACTACGTGGCAGACGTTACTAAATAGGAAATCAAAACACAGTTTTATTGGATGTCACATTTCACTTAGGCCTTGTATCAAAGCTATACCTCACAATGAGTACATTATTTGTCATAAGCCCAGTGTCAAGACTATAGCCCACAATAAATACATGGTTATATTTGTCTTCATGTTTGTTCTTAAACAACAGATTTTGCCATTGCTGGTTTTTACGGACGTTCTATTTTGTCAATTCGTCGTTTCTCCGCTTGTGATCTCGCATTGGGCTTATGTGTGGGAGCTGGCTGAGGCCACTGGAAGAAACTTCCACAGTGCAGGAATCTGCGCATTGATTGGCTTCATTATATTGATATGTGCAAGCGTGGCTCAGTTCTGGCTGAAGAGGCATGCCGTCAGTAAACGAGGAAACGGTTCGTTACTGCATTTCATTAAATGATTATAATGTACTGCTTAATGATAAGTTTCTGTCGCAAAAGATTGCATCTCTCAAATTGCAGTGTACTGAGATTCTAATAGAATAGGAGCTTTTCATTAATACTGCAGTACTGCATATATATGCAGATCATAGTTTGAATGTATTCACGTTGCATCTACTAAAGTAACAGGCAGAAGATTTTTGTCAAATCCTGATCCGTTAAAATAGTTGCTGTCAATTTATCAAAGAATTTCACTTAAAAAAAATCAAGACTGAATAACAAAGAGAGGTATGCACACTGTGGCAAAAAGACCCCTAGCCTCGTTTTAGGGAATTACCGCTTATGCATAGTACTAATGATAATGCTATTAATTATAAACATTTGTTTATTTTTTTTTCTCTACGGCAGCCGTTCCGCTGTTCGCTAAATTCTACTTGATATCAACGTCGTTTGCGTCAATCGTTTCTTGGCGAGGCGTCTGGTCAGCGATGGACCTACAATTTGGAACAGATTTGACTTCGTGCGCGTACACATTCGTGCTTGGTGTCGGTATACTTCTATCGATGGGCGGCTTGAAAACGGCTGCGGCATCACCCCCATTTCTGACACTTAACGACGATGTCCTTCGGCTTGGAGGCGCGGTCTACGATTTTCCTACGAGATTTAGTGCAAAAGTAGGTTAAAAGAGCGTAAGCTTATGACTGTACTCCTACATATTGCAGAAGTCTGCCAAAGTTATATAACTCTCTAGGCTGCATAGTTAATTCAGATTGCGCGTTCTTTCTTACTGGCATTAGAGTTTGTGATAGAGAAATCGATCAGCCAGCAATAACTTGTCCCAATGAGAGACACTCAACGTACCGTCTAGGAACCTGAAAAGACCGCACGGATGACAACTGGGCTTTTAACGACGCCTCCTAGGCCTCTACGCGACGTACGCACCTTTTCCGTGTCAAGCAAAAAAAGGGATCTTATTATCTTGGCTTAGCTTTTTAATCTCTAGTATAATATTTAAACAAACCTATAATATCATGAAATTTCGGTCTACTGTTGGCTGGTCATAGACAGTGACACTTTCATACTAAATTGTTATTATGTTAAAGCCACAGTGGTCGCGTATCATATACCTGTCGTTCACGGGGCTGGAATCAGTCACCTCTAGGTCAGCTAGAGGTTAAAGCCACTGCGCCGACGTTATTGTACTAAATGACTAATAATGATTATCGCACATTTACAGAACGTACTTGGTCTAATGTTGGATTCCGGGTTCAGCGTTATTGTACCAACAGTGGGCGTGGTCGGACTATGGCGCGCGCTATGGATCCCGCAAGATTTATACATAATATTTGAAGACGATCCAACCCATTTTCGATCAAATGCTATTTCGTGTGTCCTAGGCTGGGGTTCCACCCTTATCTTACTGGCGTTCCAAGTACCTATGGATAAGGTTTGCGTGTATGTACATCTTAGATTACTGAATACTGAAACGATAATGTTAAATAATGAAATTAATAATTCTTTAAAAATAATTTATTGTTATTTTGAATGAAAGATAAAAACGTGAAAATTATCTTGCTTTTCATTTTATTTCAGTAAACTTGAGCATCGGCTTAACTGGTGGGCTCGTTTCAGCGTCGAGTCACTGTGGTCCTTTCTACAGATTTGTGCTACAGTACTACTCTGGCGAGGCATCTGGAATTTCAGCTTGATATATCTAGAAGATTGGTCAGTTCTCCTAAAAAACCTGTGAAATATATATGTATACAAAAATAAGTTTGCAGTTTTATTGCTTTCCTCTAGAATATGTGCCACTAAACAAGGATAGTAAAATTATAGAAGTAACTACTCGGTATCACCGTTTATGAAATTTTCAGTAACCACTGTAAATGCCGAAAGATGTCGAATATTAACGTGTTTTTTGCATTGACCAGTTACATTGACCCTTTTTTCGCATTAACATCTACGTTAAATTTTCCGCAATGATTTTACTCAAACAGCATCTTACGTAATTAGCAGGAAGTACAGTTGTTACAGCTGCCAAATGGGATCCATAAGACATGTTCAACCATTAAGACAAATAAATGTATCTAGTTCCATGTTCAAGACTTCGTTAGCACCAAATCAGATGGCCATCGACACTTATCTCACTTGTTGTAATGAAGTTAGTACGCGTGTTTTCTTGGTCTCTCACCGCAGGTTCCCTGAAACCCCTCTCTTACACGTGAAAATAACGCTGACGTGCGCTACGCTACTTCTTCTTCTTGGGTTCTCCATTTACTCAAACTCGGCGGCTAAAGGATGCGTCTCCGACGGTTACGGGATCGGCTATTTCATCAGTTTTTTTGGTGCCATTCCTGAGGTAGCTTTAAGGCAACCACAAGACCATACACTTTTAACTAGCTATAAATAGACAAAATACGTACCATTACAGTACAGATGTGATATCTGAAGTAATAAGATGCTCTAATGAGACGTTTGTAATTTGTTGATTAACTGAGTATTTTAGGGATGCACCTAAGGAGGAAGTTGTCACGGTTACCTCTGCTTGTTTAGGACGTAACTAAAAAAAAACTAGAAGAATTGGGTTCATAATTTTTTTTTACAGTGTTTAGTACAGCTCATTCTAAAATCTAATCCTTCTTTATATATGCATCATCGATTATCTGTTATAATGCTTACCACAAAAGCTACACTGAGCTAATCACATGGCCGATTGCATCTTTCATCAGAACAACCCATTTTTGTTTTTTTTTTTTGTTAAATAAACTCAGCTTGATAAAGTATCAGTTGTATGTCCCTTCGAGGGGCACTCTTGGTTATATAGAACGTAGAAAAATAAAAAGAAATGAAAATTCGGTTAACAAAGAAATATATAAGTTATATAGATGTCCTGTGCAAATATTTAGCAGAAATTTTTAATAACAATTGACGCAATAAATGGCAAGGGTTCATCGATGCAATAGATGAATTGCATAGCTTGAATTAAATACATTGAAGGAAATGGGGTAACTGAACAAATTTCTCACTCTGTCAAGATTACATTGCTAAGTTGAGCTGTTATATCTTCTATGTAATCAAGTAATCCTTTTACACCTATTCATAATATGTAGCTTCGTCATTTCAGAGGTCTTTGTTTTTTTTTTATCATATAGGTACACAATGAATTCATCTTAATTTTTGTTTTACTTCACCAGGTGCCCATTGAACCTTCGGTGTGTCCTAGCCAAAACTCTTGACACCCTAACGAACGCATGAGCCGAAGCATCAACAACAACGGTCTTCGATTAGAAACTTGGCCAATCGAGGACTTCGTGCCGTCAACGCGTTCGTCCTAGAGAACCAATCATTGCGTCTTGTGTCATAACTTCGACAACTGTCGTTGATGTAATCATCGAATTAACAGCAGCTGCGTTGGCGGTACATATTAATGCATAATACGCCCATCCTAATATATTGCAGTACAGGATACTATTTTAAAAAAAAAAGCTGACGAAATATCCTTTTGCGTCGACCACAGTTAGGGCTAAAAGCCAGACTGGCTTCCTCGGGGTTAGACAAAAATATCCGTGTCGGCATAACAGAAGGCACTTGTAATGAAAGCGAAGGAAAACAATCTCCACTTGTGAAACAAACGCAGGTCGAACTCAATCATTTGTGCAGCTAAAACAATGATAAAAAGAAATGTCAAACCTATTGCAAAGCGTGGACATCGTCGTATCTCGAATGTGCGATGTATCACAAAAACACCGTTTATAACTGCACAAATGAAACAATGCGAGGTAGCTTTTAGTGTCACCCTGTGGATGTGGACAAAATGCTCTTGTTACATAGATACTATAGGGTAAAAATATTTTAATGAAAACCTGTACTGTACGTAGCATAGGGCTCTATGGCCAAGAAGTAAGCAACGTGGCCGTTAAGAACAGCCGTTGCCACGGAAAAGGTACCAGTGTTTTTTTGCCAGAATTTCCTCTCCCTTACCTACGGGATTGACCACAATTGATCAATTTTCGAAGAAATAGTAATTAAAAACCCTATGCCATTAGTCCGTACAGTCTGACAGAGTGGGATTGAATGATCCAGTTGTGGGAGTTTGCTGCCCAATATAAAACCTCAACTTGAATTCGATACACAAACGTCTGAGCTAAGTTGCATTTTGGAGCAAGTTAGTTTGTCCAGTTTCTCTATCAAATCAGCAATCGACGACATTGAGCTCGTCACACGCTAGAAATGCTGTAGGCCGTATTATTTACTCTTATAAAATCCCAATGTGTTCGTATAGTGTGAATCGATGCATAGTATGCACAAACGTTCGATAGAATATGAAACAAAGTTCCTTAGCTGTTCTCGATGCCTCCACCTTCAAAAATTTGCTCGGAATACATTTTTGAGCTGTACACATCTTAAAAACAACTTTGATAACGTAACTGTTTAGCACTTTCTTGTTTAAAGAACAGAGCAGCCCATATAGCCTCCATTTTACATAAACATCTATATACAGTTTTCATAAACGGTACAATTTTTGAACGATCCAGATGTTATAGTATAGACGCTTTTGTCTACGGCATTATTTGTTAGCTAGCAGCTCCAAATGTGGTAAACAAAATTAAACGTAGTAACGCAAATTGGGCTAGTTTCATATAATTTTTGTCGAAGATGTAGCTTACATCGATGAAGAAAATAGAAACGAGTACATAAGCAAAATGGATAAAAATTGTCCCGCGAGGTTCACGGCTATCGGCTCCGGGGCGACCAAAAGGGATATTCCTGCACCTGTTACAAAAGTGCCCCTGAAGTCAATCACATTACTATTCATATAACAATGAGACTAACATCAACTTGTACATATATAATATGTAATAGTTTAATTCATTTTTCAATCATAAACAAAAAGTACGTTTAACCGGTATCAGTTGTACATATGTTTGTAAATATTGGGCTAGAGTGATACCGAAGTGACGATGTTTTCAGATTCAAAGGAGTCTGACAATTCATATTACACACATGCCATTGATTGATTGCGAGCAATTGTAATGTTATAATCTTGTTAACCTAACGCCAATGGCACGAAAGTTTCCTCTTTTAGTTTGATTATTCGGGATAAACTGTTATCCTTGATTTGTTTCTTACTTACATCTGAATCGTTATATGAAAGCTGGATACTTATTTATCACTCAGGAACATCCAATATTCGTTATCGGTAATTTTCAAAATATGTATATGACGCAAGGCTGGATGTGCCGTTTATATTAAGAAAAATATAAAATTATACATGTCTATAACAAGTTAGTCTTCTGTTCTACACTTTATATAAAAATACATCTAATGTCAATGGGCTTATGTATATATATATATATATATATATATATGCGAATAGCCGTTTACGTTTTGAACGGACAATTTCTCCGAGAATACCTGATGCACAAAATGTTAGGACTATATTTCAAAAGATAATTCTTCTTCTTCTTAATAATTTTCGGTCCGTGAATAAAACAAAATGCTGTTCAAGCGAAAAAAAAAAGATAACATATTCATAAATTATCAAGTAATCAAACAATATGTAACTATGCATTTCTCATTGAATGAGCATCCAACGCCCATATAGTAAGGACAATCTATTCAAGTAGCAACGAAACTTTTCTAGCTAGTTATAAATGTACTTGCATGTGTCTGTTCACCAAGTTACGCGTATTCCAAATCCACAACACGGAGACGTCGATGGCAAAATCAAACCAAACTATTCGCGGGTTTCAGCATCGCTGGGGCTGATTTTTACGAAAATTAATGAAGTATTATTATATATGACCATTGGTACTCATTTCATTGATCACATGATTTATCCGTCGATTTCGATATCATTTGTTCTTCACAAACTTTTCCAGCGTTGAACCAGTCACTAGATAAACACAAGTGATAGTAGTCCGTACACCCATTGTATCGCTAGGGTATATTGTCTTGGCCCTAGACAGGTATCTGAATCGACATGGATTGATTAAGAAAAATATATCCAACTATTTGCACGATTTTCGTTTATTTGTTAAATAAATACATTATTATTCATTGCTGTTTTCATCCATTTATCACATGGTTCTTAACTATTGCATCTAAATATAGCATACTTTTGTTCTGAAATGTTTAAACTGAATATCATTTACTTACCAATAATTGAGGCTTACCAGAGAGCATGATATTTCTTAGGTTAAACAACAACAACAACAATTGAAATAATTTTATGTGTGGCCTTACCTTACTTTGCCACCGTATTAAAAAATTTGATTTCATCATCAAAACCAATAACAACTTGTATCCAAATAAACGTATTTGGTATTCCAACCTGTTTTATGACTATAAATATGGCAGAAAAACACTTTCGGTAAAACCAAAAGGCATTGATTTATTCTTGCCACTTTGTGAGTAAAGAATTATGATAGAACTATCTCGCCTGAGTTGTTTCCTTGGAATGTTAGCCAACAATTAATTAATAGACCTTTCAATCAAGTAGAGAGCTCATTAATCTGATGTTCTATACACCCTGTCTTATCCCCATCCCCTACAAACACATTATTTTAATACACATGACCTGAAATAATTGTATGTGCTGTTAATATTTTTCTCTAAAATTGAATGTATCCCACTGAATATCTGCACATAGTGGTAGCAACAACACTTATCGATCTACTATGTGTCTTTTTTATGTATTTACTTTCTTACACATACTTTTTTTCCACTTACACATAATATCGTGCCCGAAATAGAGCGATAATAATAACCATGCCGTGATTGTCCTATATATTTCTCCGCCTACAGTCACACGTATATTTTCGTGCATATACACAGTCTCGTCCACAGTTCATGCATCCGCCAGTCTGTTTATTCATTTTTGGAACCTATTTAAAGTTATTTCACACTACCGCTTTGATCCACCTGTTTTTCCGCTAGGCATACGCAGTATTTTTATAACACATCTGCCTTTTTCATCGGTACCAGAGGTTCACGCTTCATTATAGTAGTGCTTTTCCTAGAGAGAGCTAAAGCGATACACGCTCAAGGTAACTCTTATTAAATTAGAGTTATTAGTTAAATAAGATTTTTCTAAGTCTTAACAACTCGATGTCTTTTTATCTCACTTCGCAAACGAATTTTCCGCGAAGAAACGTTGCTTTCATCATCCTCAACTTAGGTATGTCTACTCAAATTTATTCTTCAATTTTCCTTTTAGCAGGACAGGCAGGAGCGAGAAAGCGGCGAAACCAGTGAGCAGACCAATGTTCTCCCACGTTAACAACACGTTCGCTGAGGCCAGCTGCTGTAACGAAATTCCAGCTCGAATTGCCAGAATCGATGGGGGCGCCACACCAATAAAAGTGCCAATAAAGAACGGCACGATATGGACATCGACGATTGGTGACGCGAGATTGATGAACCAGTTAGGCAGAAAGGGCGTAATCCGCAAAAAGATAATGTAATAGACCATATTACCCTTTTGTTTCGCTACCTAGAAAGAGACGAAGAGCCAGTAGATAGAAGAAAATATTAACAAAACGCAGAATCATGTGTTCGTCGTTATATAATTAGCAGTATTTGTGTGAAAGTGGTATAACTCGATTGTTATTGACATTAATGTACCCTTTCAAAAATTATTATCGAATTAACAGATTTCAATTTATGCAAGATTTAAACAGAGCTTAAAAAAATCACTGTTCTTGTATAGTTTAGGTTAGATAAATGCAAGTAAATAATCATACAATTGATTTAAAAGCTTAGAATGTTGAGTTTGGCTCTAATATTAATTCCATTAGATTAGTCTTTTTCAGCCGGAGATCTCTAACAGCGTTTTAAAAAGTACAAGGCTTAGAAACAGAGTGTCTCATTCTAGTAGATGCAACGCATTCTAAGGGTGTTTCATTCCTACAGTTGCTTCTTCATAAGAGCTACCTCTATAAATTATATATCGCATAATTGTACTCGAAGCATCAGTGAATGTGCAATACATGTTATTGAAGAAGGGTTTTGATTATATTTAGCAATGTGAGTATTATGGACGAAGCTCAAGCTGAGTGTGTCGAATGATAGGTTTGGTATAAGTGTGAGAGCGTCCGAGATGAGACTGTACGATGGAGGATATTGCGATGCTACTACAAACGTCTTGCCAGCAAAATGAAACAGGTATGTCATTTAGTGGAACGTTATCTTTGAGAGTTCATTGATCAATGTTTTCTTGATATTCTAACTATTACTACTAAGTAATAAGTAAACGAAAATTTCAACGCGAGTTAACATCCAGCTAATTGTTTGTAATGGAGAGGCCGATCTGCAATCGCTGTTAATTCGGGTAAGAACTATTAAAGATAATCTTGTTAGGGATACTTAGCTGTGTAAATATACATCCTAGGGCAAACAAAAATAGCCTAATGAATTTCTATCTATATATGCGTAGAAAAGGCCGTAATTTAATAATCCTGATGAATATATAAAATCTAATAGACGTTCCTAGGTTTACGTCCGAAGCTGCGTCATCATTTTATCCAATCAACCATAAATAGGCGTCATAAACATATGGGCTCGTTTGTTGAATCGGCGCATCGTCTCTCTGCTTCGAATATGATAATTTTTAAATTCACACTTGATTATTCTATAGTTTTCTTGCTGAATTAAAATTTGGATCTACTAGACGTGCATTGAGGTTGACCATTACCTATGTATGATAAAACTAAAGAGTTCACCTAGCTAAATTACCTAGATCTTTATTTGTATAATATTACTCCACCTGCTGCTTCCATTTGGCCAACTTGTCAGGTATCCAAGCCAATATTAGTCGACTACCAACGCTGTACGAGATCAGGTAACTGAGAGAGGCGCCAATGGCCGAGCAGAGACAAACGAGAAAGATGGCTAATAGGAATGGGAAAAGAAATCCAGATAAAAAAGAAAGAAATATCGATCCTGGAATGGCAAATGACTGCAGGAAGATATAGGTGCAGAAAAAAGCTAACACCACGGCGGCGAAATGGTCGTCCGTATAGCGTGACAGCACTCGGCCTAAATTTTTTGCATCTTCAAGGCTCGTCGGCAGTTTCACGTAAGGTTGCTCCTCGGGCCGCATTTCTGGGAAACTCAAGTACACGGTAAATAAGCCTAGGCATGATAGACCAAAGATAACCGCAATCGCTAGTAGAGCGCTCTTCGTTGACAGACATTCTTCTTGATCTTCGACGTTCATTGCCATGCTAGGTTGTCAGAGACATAAGAAACTCAAGCGGCTAGTGAGCTAATGTAACTGTGATAGACGAATAAACAGCAGGAAAAACTGGATAATTCTTTTCTCCCAGAAACTCTAGCCGGTGGCCGTCGTTTGGCCCCGACTTTGAAGCAGTTAAGTGCCAGACAACGACAGAATTACATACAAATTGTTTATATATATCTCGGCTCAGATAGAGGCCTTAAGGTGGGTACGTTCGCCGAAAAAGAACCACACATTACCACGCACGTTCGTTGATTGTATCTATTTCTATTTGCAAAGTATACAGGAGTCGCACACGACACAAACAAATCAATGATTGGTTAGAGCTGACGGATTTAGTAGAAACCTCGTTTCATTTGGTACGGAAACTGATTGTAAGAAAAGCATTCACGGCTAGCGAAAGGTTTGTAATCAAATAACAACACAGCAGACGATCTAGGCGAGGAGGAAGGTCCAAAGACACCAATAGGCGGGAGCTTAGAGAATTTATGTACACGGGTTCTATTGGAAAAAAAAACTTTTAAATTATAAGTGATAATAAAATACATGGCGCATTAGCAACACTACGCCTTTGCCAAAAGCGAACGCTTGTAACTAAAATTACATTGCTCAGTATTACTGATATGACCTTTATTACTCTTATATATTATTTTTAGTACTGCGCTATAGTAGATTACGATGAACTCGGAGCCGCTTGCAGATGTACGTCATGCAACAGGCATTATACCGATATATACATAGATCAATATCACGAATGCCGCTGTTCTAGTTGAAATGTCGATTGCAGAATTTCAGCACTAAAATTTATGCTTTTATATTCACAAACCTATATTTAAAATCGTGTTTGACATTATTCAATCTTCAACTTGTATATAATGTTGACAAAGGTGTAACTGAAGATCGATGATAAAAATCATTGTGGGAATCGCTTCAGGCCCACAAAATGATTATATACAATATATACATTAGAAGTATGCAGTATGTGATTTTCTCAAAAAACAGAAATATTTTTATTAAAGCTAAAGAAAGTTTTTGGAAGGCATCTTTTTCAGCATATTAAACTGTGCGGAAAGAAGGGAATGTGAAAAATATTATCGTCGTTCAAAGATAGGATAATTTTTCGCAGAGTATTATTGATGTTTTGTACGAACCAAGTTCTGAAATATACTAACAAAATGTAAGCCTTCCTGATCTGAACTTGAAAATAACACGATGATTGACTACGCTGTAAGTGTTAACGACAATCAATAGTCGAAAAAATTTGCCAAATGATAACGAGCACGTTCGGATAGAACAGAGAAATGTGTATATATTGATCTATTAAATTATGGTTTACTTCGGTCCACGCAAAAATGGACAGAGAGGCCTTTCTTCTATAACCACAGAAAAAATCTCTCCGGGATTATACAATTAATTTGATTATTTTTTCTAATAGTAACTATTAGTAGTAAAATTTCGCATTTGGCAACTCATTATAGAACCCGCATGTTTGTCCTTTGGAAATTCTCGATCATTGTGGAATTCAATACCAAATCAAATATTGCCGAGTACGAATCCCTCTTGTAAGAACTCACGACTGACTGTTTTCGTTGATGCACAACCTCTCTTAATCCCGCAATGTTCACCTCTTCCGCCTTTCATCAATATAGTTCAATCATATCCTCAAAAATCAGTAAAGCGTTTTAATGTGGTAAAGTCTTGTGCTGCCTCTACAGGAATTGCCAGTTGTTCTACTTCTAACCACTAACGATGTGCATCAAGTAGTTCGAGTGTTCATAAAGTGTTCATAAAGCTGGATAAAGCTCTATTCCTAGACATTACTTAATTCTACTTCTGCCTATTCTGTTGTAAGAGTACCTTGGATTGGTGAGCTAATCTAATAAATTACGTTTTTATGACTAAGATTGAGCGGCGCATTATAGCAGACTCTCAAAAACTCATTTCGGGAGATGAACTACCGACTGCAGCGACTATACAGATTCCAATACTAAAGCCTGTTTGAATATATTTGAAAATATTTTTCTTGGATTAAAGTAAACTGAGCTAAACCGTTTCTCCTCGTTAAATTTTTAAAGATACGGAGTTCTTTTGCTGAAGTTTTCAAACAGCTATCAACTGCTTCAAGGAATAACAAACCATAAAGCACACAGAGATTATTCACATCACCAGCTGCTTCTGTTTTACTCACTGCAGTAGTACCAACTGAAACTTGTGAGCTATGTGAAGAAAGAAAGTTTACATTAATTACAAAAATTAGAGGTGTTACCAAATTTTTCTTTATGAACAAGGACGACTTATAACCTGAATGAAATCAGGTAACCAAAAAAATTCCCGCCTCGCATGCCAATGTTCTGCGCTATTGTAGATAAGACTCACTTGAAAGTATCCGCGAACGCAGAACCAAAAACACCTTTTCAAGTGAAATGATAATAATGATAATTGAAACAAAAATCTTCCGCTATAGTATCAAAACAAATAAGCTGAAATACTTCAACACGTTTTATTGCATTGATAAATTTCATTATATATATATATATATATATATACACACACGTTTATTAAAATTAGGTTTCATTCAACGTTTTAATACAATGTTCCATTTTTGACATTATTTCGAGCTCTCTGAACCTACCTTAACGTCTAGATAAAAAAAAAACCAAGCAAATGAAAATGTGATTATTTAAATTAATAACCTACTACGTTTTCGTTTACACAGCCTTTTTATTACAATGGGTTACAATGACAAAGCAGATACGCAACTATTCGTCAAAGAAAGAAAGGGATAACGATTCTTCTCATGTCGTTTGCCCTACAGCAAAGAGATAAGCCAATACCCAATCTAAATGCATCACTTTTTTACATAGTTTAACCCCCGATGCTCTATTAACATAAAAAATAGTGAGCACGTTTGACCCTCGTACACTTTTACTCAGACTATTTGTTTTCTATCATTGGTTTTATAGAATTAGCAGTTTTTACGCTGCAGTAATGGATTGGAAATCGACAGTATTAAAACGTTTTTCCATGAGATCTTCAACGGCAGCATAGTACTTTATCAGATCCTCGTGTGGGTGCACCAGCACAACGGAGCACTGCCTCTTAAGGCCCATGGCCCCGCCGATGTCGTAACGGCTTGGTACGTAAATATACGAAATTTGGTTCTGTTCGCAAACGATGGGCAAGTGGCAGTAAATATCGACAGGAGAAATATCACCGGCCAGAATGCATAATCCTTTTTCTTCTTTTCGGAGAGCGCGCTGCACAGCCTTGATGCCACATGTTAGTGCCGGCTTGACCTTTGCCTTGGAGCTTTTGCGAGCCTCCCGGAGTTCGTTTTCCTTCTCTGAGGCTTTTTTCAACAACTTGTACACCTTCTTGCAATCTTTCTCCGTAGCCATCGGAAGGGCGACCGCATTACAGTTATTGAGCTTTTGCTCGTAAGTCAGTTGGTCACCTCCACCATCGACTAAAGTTTCTTCGGCGTCGGTTACGTCTGCAAGTGACTGCGAGCAAGGCAAGAAAAAAGAATACTTACTATTTAAAGTAAGGTGATAAATTGATTTGTGTTAGCATTAACCGACTCAATAAGAGTCGGTCCGTCGCCGTCATATAATTTCATGGGTATTTCGAGCTTAGCGAGCATTCGCGCCGTTCAGTTATATTTTAGACATAACTTTCAGCAACTGAAATAAAGTGCTTTACGATTATTTCACCTCTAATCTAGACTACTCCACCAAATACCCCAAAGTTTACAAAGCGATCACGTTAGTACTGTACAGTCACCAACACATGCATATAATCGTATGATATGACACGACAACTGTTCCTATTGAGGCTTCAAAACCAATAGATTATAAGACACATTCTAACTGTAACATACTTTACAGTATCTGTATGAAAAAATTGTCACTTGTAACTACTGTGTCCATTAACCAGTGCAAATATACAATAAAATATAGCAGAATTATCTTGATTCTATGCCATGATAACTTTTTTAAAGCTAGTAAAACATTAGTTGAACTTAATTACCTCTCAACAGCTTCAAATCTGATTAAGAGATTTAGAGACAGATCAAATATTTAAAAGCAAAACGTTTCAGTTTCAATTTACTACGAGCTTTTGAAGCATGTTTTTTTACTCAGTGAGCAAGTATTCTATTGCGAAGCTGCTAGAAAACGGCCGTTTCGTATCATTTTAACACGCTTGACATAACACGCATTAAGTCAAGAGCATGTTCTCCAGTGTAGAGTTATTTTATACGTGGACCGAATCTTAATCCGCGACAAGGCTATAATTGTCTTAAACATGACTACAAATTAGTTTCACTATCAATATCTTAGCTTCCTAGTACTAATACTATGCTATACTTACGTTCGTGCAAGACATTAGTATCAAATATTTACTGAACAATTCGTCAAGCACGCCTACGCGCGAATTTATTTCACGGCCGCACTTAATAGTTCTATTAAATATATATTTGCCTCGCCATCTGTCAGTGTCCTACCTTTTTGGTCTTCTTTGTCTTGGGGGTTTCGCCGTCGCCTTCGTATTCACGTTTTCCCATTTTGTCTGTCGATGGTGACACGAAAGTGATAATGTACAACTATTGCTATGCGATGCGAACCACCTCAAGTTAAGCACGTGGGGTCATAATCAGAATATTAGTGCTTTGCGTCCTCTAGGTACCACAAAAAGAACCACAGGCTGGTAACAACAATTGTAAGGCACGCACCGCCGTGGTGCGGGCTGGTATAGAAAAAAATTAAGAATACTTAATCTATATTAAACTATCTAGTATACACTGAAATTCAGCCCTCTCTGATGATGTTAAATTATATGGGGATCTGTTACTATTAGATCGTTGTAATGATGCAAATATGGTACCACGAATGTAAACAATGGCTTGTGAAAGAGTGCAGCAAAGTTTTGTTCTAACAAAGTTGTAAGTAAGATTTTAAACCAAGTGATTTATTTATGATTACTACCATAATTAAAATGAGTGTAGTTAAGCCAATGGCTGCTCTACTGAGCAACTTCGAGGTTCTTTCGATACTCAGAGCATCTCAGGCCGAGGCGAAATCTTGCAAAAGTTTGGCGACACTGAGTTACGAAACTTTGAAACATCTCGAACAGAGTCCAGCTGCCAAACAGAGTGAAGCCGTTGTTGTCGCATTCCTCCAGGAGATCAAGGACTTCCCGAAACCTCTTAGCAAGGCTGAAAAGCTTCAGTTACTAAATCTACGACCAACGAACGTTGCAGAATTACAAGTATATTTCATATAAACATTTTGGATCACATACGCTAGCGAGTACCGTTTTTATAATTGCTAGAGTGATTATTAGAGGCCTATTTAGTTGGTGCAATATCTTTTGATAGATAGGGTCTTATTGATAGTTTTCTCTTGAACTCTAATATATTACCCATAATATCGCTTCTGTGCTACAAGAACTAGGGTGTGGAAAACCGGTTACTGACAGCTTTAGAGAAAAAATATCAAAACTAATGCAGTATCTCTGAGACGAAATGGTGGTATCAAGCTGTTTTTCTTTAACTGCACATAGTTTGTATTTTAAACCGTTCTTGGGTGCCATTATGGAATGACTAATTATGAATTGAATGTCGAGCAAAAAAAATAAAACAAACAGTTGGCAAATAAAAAAAAGTGAAATTTATTAGGACTTCGTAGGCGAATCCGTATCGAAAGGCATATTGAGTGAGCTAATGTGACTAACTATTGAAATGGTATCATTTTCATTTCTAATTTTGTTTTTTTTGCTTTCTTTTGTTCCTGACAGGTGATTATCGAGAATGTTGAGGAACGATTAACAGAGCAGGAACTCGATTCGCTGCTTGAGATAGTCAGCAGGTTAATTCCTCCACTAGAAGAGGAGGTTATGGAACAAGAAAGCTGAAATTTGTTGAGATTGGAAATCAAGTAAAAATAAAAACGTTATTTCTAATTAAAAGACTTGAGTGGTATAATGTGAGAAACGCATGTGTGAAACAATGGAACGTATCCTAGTTAACGACAATACATTTACGCACCCTACATTTTTAAACAGCAGGTTTTTTTGTTGACCCGGTAAAATTTGCGACGAGATTACATCGTCATTACAGATACTCATGCTGACAGATACCCGCCTATCGAAACCTGCTGCAAGAAAACGTAATCAAACCCGTGCTGTTCTTAACCGTGCAGTTCATCATTGGGCACATCGAATCGTGACAACCATTCAGTGCACACAAAAGAGTACTTATGAGAATGCCTGATAAACGTTTATGTGATGATCTTATTGAATATTCAACGATCTATTTTGTTTGGCAAACTACGTATTGGAATTGATGTTATACAAATATCGAAGAAGCACCGTATTTTTATGGAAAAATGAAATCACATTTTTTTTCCGCTGAAATTATTTATTTTCTCATGTTTTTAGTAAATTATAGAAAGCTGCTGTGTATTTTGAGGGAGCTCACTTTGGGACCGACCTCCTGTTAAAAATTACTATTCAATTTTTATCGAAACCTACTTTTCTAATCGTTGGGAACGAACGGATCTGATGACAAGTGCAACGAAGTACGAAAGAGCAAGTGGCAAATCAACCAGTTATATGGTTTCACTTACGCTATAATTATATTACGGCACTTAGGTCCGATACGGACCCGTACGTTTTTAACATTAAATACGTTCTGCTTTTTTAAAGGAAATTAAGGATTAATGATTTATGCATACCTGATTTAATTTCTTTTTATAATATATTTAAAATATTTAAAATACTTGTCTGGCACTGTGGAGCTAAATTCTAGATCTCATATGCGTAGGGATTTTAACATTACCTAAGTAATATAAAGCGTAAGTTACTTGAAAATATATAGCTGATGTTATTCTCACTGGTTCTAATGTTCTGATTCCTATCCAAAACGCCTCTGGTTTAAATAGCAAGCACAGAGGTACACTACTGAGAAGTATAATCAAAACGTAAATAGTACAGAGGCTCCAATCTGAGTTTTCTTTATAAACCTAACACATTTTTTTCATGTTAATTGACGACGAAATTATTTTGGTTAGTGTTGGCAACAGGGATTACTTGCCTTCTGTTTCAACGATATGAAGTTCATTTATATAGCACGTACTGAGTTTAAATTTCCATTCATTTAAATTAACGTGCGACATCTAATGGATTTCAGCTTTATATAATATACTAAATACGAATATTCCTGTCCGAATGTGGTACATTAGAAGTAATTACAATTTTCAAGCAAACCATTTAAAAATATCCTAAACATGGAAACAGCTATAATTTTATATCGGGCTGATGATAGTTGTATAATGGGATTAATCGCACAATTATTTGTGTAGGAAGCCGTAATTCCAGAAATAAAAAAAATTAAGTCACATCAGATCAGCGCGGCCTCCCCACCCTCTTTGAAGTTCCGTTGAGTTTTGTTGTAGTGGAAGAGCCCTACGGCCAGTAAGTGCTACCTTCAGGCAACGCTCGATTTAGTTTTCGTGTAATACTGGATACGCCCATCATTCACCAGCTGGAAAACGAGAGATTATAACCTGTAGCATCAAGACATCCCTTTCATTGGAGCTTCAAATGTGAGTGGCTATATAGTGAAATAAGGTCTGGCAGAGAAAAGATGCGACTTGTGCAGTGACGTTTTACTGTCGTTAAATTTTATTTGTCAAACCAAACATCTATGGGTGAAAAACACGAAAATAGCAGAACGCGTTCAACTTCATCGATTCATACTGGTTGGCTAAATTTCCGTCTCATTGATTTTTCTGATCCTTTAATAAATAAAAAGAATCTAGCGATTATGGTTGACAATGCTGTACTTTAAAAGGTTTCGACGGGCGTCTACCAATTCATCAACTTATTTCTGTTCTCCTGAAGATTCAGATGTAAGCAGAGTACCGTCATTACAAAGATTTATGTAAATCAACATAATCTTTTGATTTCACAATACTATCACAGTTCATTTCCGTATATCGGTTTCGTCCTCATTTCAAGCGCTATGGATTTTGGTCAATAGCTACAAAGAATCTACGAGATAAAAACGACTGAGATAAATACAGTTTGTTTAGCAGTAACGTAACTTTCAGTTTTTTCGCAACGGCTGCTCTTTTGGTTAGATAGTTTGGCTAAATATGAATCAAGGAACGCCCGGATATATATGCATAATAATCTACAAATAATATAACATTCAAGTATATTGTGGTAGGAAATTAAAAATAAATCTATACGATAAGATTGCTATAGTTTGTTAGAAACCAGGAAAACCATCGTTAATTGTTTTTTTAACAAGACCGCAAGTTAAAATAAACAGCTTCACTGGTAATTAATATTTCATACACAATGCATAGTTTAAAAATTTCTTATCGTATATTGAGAAATATAATGAATAGTGTTTACTTTTGACCTATTGAAGCATGAAGCTATATCTCCCTACTTGATTTCATGAAGAATAATACCGTTTCAGTAACCTGTTCTGAGAAAAGGCTCACTATAGCTTAACAGTGCATCTTCGTGCAAACATTACTTTTACTTATCTCATCATTTATATTTCCTTCTTCGCTTTATGCAAACGCTATTTTGTAAGATATCGAGATCGTTCGAATCCACATAAGAACGACATGGCCTGCGCAATTCAGTACGTAGACGAGTTAGTACGAGACTACCTTCTCTATCGCGGATTTGTTAGTACATTGAAGTCGTTCGAAGTCGATCAAAAGAATGACAGGACTCGTGCCATGCGGGCAGACAAAATTGTGGAGTCACTCGCCGGACACATTGATGCGGGCGAACTGGAGACGTTGCGCGATACCTGGCACCATCTTGATACTCAGATGTTCCGTCGGCTGGAGCACTCGTACCAGAACCCGGTACGAAAAATGGAGCTTGGTCTTTACCGATTTTACCTAGTCACGTGCGTCAGTACGGGCAAGGCAGACAAGGTTAGTTGGCTATGCTACTTGTATAAGTACTTCCCCAACGCATTCGCCAATTACGGTGATACTTGCGTCGAGTATATGTTTAGGCGATGGATATCATTCAGAAATCGATAAAGACGTTCAAAATACAGCCGAGCAGTATCTCGGACATGTCAATCACCGATATTAACAGCGAGCCAGGCCCGTTTGAGTTAGCATCAAATTTGCATTGAATATAAGAAAATTGTTTTTGGTACCTCAGAGCTGAAAGATAATTTCCCTACCAGTTCTTCAGACATAACTAATACTATAATTTTAATGCACAGAGATATCTAATGAATGCATCTCATCCGTTTAGATATCAGACGCAGAGTATAATAGATAACCATTTTTCTAGTGTGTCACATAATTATCCCCACATCCTTTAGAAAACTTCTGGCAAAAACCAATAGGAACTTTTGCGGTAATATTGCATTAAAATATTCTTTGCGATTGTCGTTTTCCTCTTCTTCGGTTTACATTGGTTTAGGTAACAGAGTTCTTCGAAAAGATGACACCGGAAATTCAAGGCCAACCTGAATGGAAGGAATGGTTCGTCCTACCGTTCGTTAAAGTACCCGAGGAGAACCCTGTGTTCCAACTTTACTTCACCCGCCATTGGCAAGAATCGCTCATGGTGTCGCTTCGAAATCTTCTCTCAGTGGTATTTCAAAATGCCCCGTTACCGACGCTTCTGCAATATGAGGAGGACGCCAATCGAATCAAGGAGCTGGAAGAAGAGAATGAATCTTTGCGGCGCCAGTTAGCCGCACTTCGGGGCGAAGCTGAGGCTCAGAAAAAATCGGAATTCAGTCCTGAGCACGCTCTTCGAGCTCCCGATGAACTGATCGATGATTTTTATGTGATCGCTCAAAGTCAACAGAGCAAGTAGTTGGGTTGTTACGTAAACATCATTGCTATGGTATGAATTCAGCAAAAAAAGATAGACATTAATTTAAGCTCGTAAGTTAGTGTGTTCGTTAATCTCTTCTCAGTTCAATAATTAGACACAAACGATTGAAACTTGAAAAGGTGTACGCTATATGTGAGAGACGGATTCGCGTCGTTTTGTAGAATTCATTTCTCGTACAAGACTGTGGTTGTTTACACAACAAGTCGCATTTCGCTCTGACTGACAGTTTTCCTACAATATTTTATTCGTGTTACTCATTTTATGAACATTTATAATGATAGTAATTGTATAACAGTATGCAGTTGCGTAATTAGGACACCACACAAGACCTGTCCGAATCTCAAAACATGTGGCTTGCGGTAAGCGAATGACTAAAAGCCCATATTTTTTCGAATAGCTAACACTAAGCGTCTACAATTGTCCATTTGTTGAATAAGTACTGACGAAACCTTATTGGCCGTTTAACATTTGGATAGATAAGGCTTGAAGGTTTGAAATGTATCTATTCAATAAAAAAATGCCACTTATGGGTTGTGCACAGACATTTGATAACTATTGATTTGCTGGAGTTTTAGGTTGAAGCCGGAACACTCGTGATTTTTAACATTTTTTGTTCATGTCACACATTTTACAATAAACGAAAGTCACTGATATACCTTACATCTAAACAGTTTCTGTAAATACACTTAGGAGAAATATGTATGCGCATAAAAAAAATGTTAAATTTATAATCATGCGGCTATGAAGGAATGGTTGACCATTTCGCATAAGCACAACACCGCTATCGATAAAACAATATGGAGCTCGTTACCTTTGAATGGCAGCGTTAATATATAGAATGTAGAATATATTACATGAGGGTGTAATTAACAGTAAAAAAAAGATAAATAATCGTATAGGATAACGGAAGGGCAGTAACCGTTTTACCACTTTGTAAATAGCATAAAAAATTAGAGCTTTAATTTATTCGCACCGATGCGCACCGATCTATCTATTATATGCAACAGGTGAGATGATTATAAATTATGGAAGTTATATTTTGAGTAATAAAAATTCCAAGTTACCTGGCAAGATTATTTGCTTCGGTGTTATTTTATAGTTATGAAATTGAGACAAAACGTTAACAAAGTAGCAGTGTGGAATAATCTTATTCGTCGACGTCGCAACCTGGTAAAACTAGGAATTAGCTTGGATCAACTTGTTAATCGCTGGAAAATTTGGGAAATATATTGTACTTTTTGCTTATCAAGCCCTTAGCATTTATCTTTCTATACGTTCTATTGTATAGAGCTTGCGAAAAGTAAAAAAGACTATTGTAGGGAAACGGAGAAACGAAACGATTATAACAAAATGTCAGGGTATTTCATTCACGTTGTAGAAGTCTGTTCTATTGTTTTACTGTGCTTTTGTCCTATCCGAGCAGAGCATCCGATGGATTGGACAGTTCTGAAGAATACACAGGAGCAAATAATAGTAGATATTGGTGCATTTATGGCGCATTCTTGCGACTGGCGCTGCAGATAAAATATGTTTTTATATTTACATGGTTGAATTATTCTTAGTGGAAATGGGCAACAAATACAGTAATGGTACATTTTTACGATTGAAGGCTAGGATGCAGAGTTTCAAAAATTGACGCAGCTACTCTTAACGAAAATTAAGCACTTAGGACAGTGAAGTTGTACATATATTTTAATCCCTTGAATGCTGCTGATATCCAATCACTGATTTAATTAATCTGAAAGATCACTGATTTGCACGGAAGGTAGCACTAGTGCATCCGTAGGCGACTGTCCCTGCTTCTCAAAGAAACTTTTACTAAAATCCTCGATTCCAAAAAAGATTCTGCACCTTACAGCGAGTTTATTGCTATCGTTTTTAGTACTGGAGACTTTCTTATTAAGAGAGACGTCGAAGCTCACATGCGACCTGGCAAAGATTATTGAATCTAGAAAAATAATCCGAATGTCTGGTATTTATTACGTCTTGGCAGAGGTGGTAGTAAAAATACAGGCGTTCTACGCATGAACTCATGAAGACAGTCTTATCTCTGCCCGAGTTTCTGTTTTGTAGCTCTCGCTATATGAAAAAGATTATAAAAAGCCAGAGGAAACAAGTTCATTTTGTAGAAGCATATAGTAGTAGTATTAAGGCGCATTTCTCCAATATACTAAGTATATATACTCCAATATATAAAGTTAGTTACTTAAAAACCGCATACTAGATTTCCAAGAGGATTAAGGTTTGTTGGAAGGTTAGGCGGATTTACTAACGAGGTTGATTTCTGATGTCCAGAAATTGGTTACAGAGAAGAATACTAGTTCGTACTAGCATGAAAGGTAACTACGGATATGCTGTACAGAGCTTTAAAACGAGCATTATTTGTTTGAGAAAACTTCTTGCGGAGTGTGTGGTCGCGAGCAGTATAATTAATATATAGTAATCCTAAGGTTTTTTTATATATTACATTATACTATAATTATTACGTATCATAGTACAGTACGCATATATTATTTCTCGGCTAATTATAACTAATAATTGTATTACAAATATCTAATATGTAAAGAAATTGTGAAGCTATGCCAGTTAGTGGCAATCGATGCGCGCCTAGCTTCATTGGGCTCAATTATTCGAAGCTGAAACAGAAGTTCCTGCGCTTTTTAGAATAGACTTTTCTACTTTCGCCCGCTTGTTCACTTTCAATATGCCGTTCGAAAGCGCTCTTCCTACTCTATCAATGTGCAACGGGTGCAATTTCAATTCGTAAGAACTTTCTAAAGATAAGTGCCTTAGGTAGGAAAAAATGCATTTTCGACACCTCCTGTTTTACGCATTTTGTCAAGATTGAAACTATTAGGGCTGTCGAAACAGCCGGGGCTACTTGTTTTGTGCACGGCAGCGACGCTATTGCTCAAAAAGCTGCTAAAGAGTCATTTGCCGAGTTTGAAAATATTATCCAGTAACTAGATTGTGTCCCTCGCTCCGGCCGACCATCTAAAACACTTTTGAAGGAATATGGCTGACCAACAATTCAATAATCGGCTGACAAAAGGGTTGCAACCATACGAATGTTGCGGTTGATAACCGCTTCAGGTCGCGTGGTTTACACAGAAACCTGGAGCTAAGGTGCTTCGTGGATTATCTTAATCATACAAAAGCCTGCGGCTAAACATTGCACTATCTCGCGTGGTATCAAGCGTCGCGCAGTCATAATGATATTCTTTTTTTTCTTAAAAAAATACTTGCACTTTGCGTTTGGTGGGTTTCTGAGGGCCTAATCCACTGGAAACTACTTTTTACGAAACAGACAGTTAATGGGCGCATTTATTTAGCCTAGCTGTATCGTGTCAACCAGACTATTTAAAGAAAGGACCCGGCAAACGAGGCCAGATCATCCTCTAGGCAATGCGAAATAAAATGCCAACAAACATAATCAAAGCTACTTTTCGAGACTTCAAATAACTTCTAGTAATAATTGGTCGCACCTTCATATACTTCGAATCCTGTGCAAACAAAAAAAAATGAAATTAAGAACCAGGCATTTCACAGTAAAGGGCTTCAAAACATAACTGAACGAGTTTTTCAACACCAAATTTAAAAATTTTTGGCTGAGGGGAGTGAGTAAACCAACTAACATATGGCAGAAGGCCACGAACGAGGACGAGATATACATAACCTAAAAATTTATTTCCACAGGGCTAAAAAATATGCTATTTTCCAGTCAGTAGAATTGCTCGGGATTTTTTTTAACCATATGATCACAGGTTTATTCAAATCGTTGTTCCTGCAAAACAATTTTCTCACTTCATTATATTGGATGAGTGTAAGTATCTGTACATTCTTAGCGCGTTTCCTCATTCGGTACTGGGTTAAATAGCCCGTTAATTCCTCAGACGCCCCTGTTGCTGATCGATTCAGGAAATCAACGTATGTGAACGTGGTTTATTAACGCCAAGCTTATCAAAGCATTTTCGAAGTAACATAAAGGCCGATCATTCGACAAGATGAATTTAGAAATCGATCCGCTTGATCCGGATTTTACGATGGCTGGCTTCGGATCCTACAATCCAGCTACAAGTCTACGCTTAGCCTTGGAGCATGGGGCCTTGTAACCATCCTAAGGTTGGATCGCCTTGTGGATTCAAACAGGTTATACAATAATGTCAAGGTAGTTGGGCTTAAAAGTAACTGAAGTCATTGCAAACGGTTAGAACGCCTAGAATAGTATCTTTCAGCATATGATCTCGTAGGTCTAACGAAGCCTGTGGATTTCGAGAAGGTGTTTACATTAGTTGTCTAACGGAAACGCACTGAAACATTGTAGCAATAAGCAGAGTGAAATTGTTATTATAATTATTATTGGGAGACGGAGCCGTTTATTGTCCGGTGCAGGAGGTAACTCAAAAAATATTTGAAATTTGCCAAATCTTCATTGTATAGAGGAGTTTCTTTGTAATTATAGAAAACGAAATCTCGACAAGCCCTTATTTGTCTGTGTTAGTGTATAGTCTTATGAAGATGAAAAACGAAACTATATATATATATATATGTTCAACATGCCAGAAAACAACCTCTAAAGAAAAGAGTATTCATAATATATTTATTACTCCCGTAAATGCTCATCGGAAATGCCCCTGAAAATGTTGTAGAAATAAATATTAATTAAAATTATAGAAATAGCTTTCCGTAATTATGCGAAGTGAAACTTATCTACTTAGTAAAATACAATTCGGAGCATCTCTCGCTTTGTGTTACAGGATATACTATTTTGTGTTAGTTATATGATTTTAAACTGCTGCTTAAACTATAGTGACCGCTACGAATGTGATATTCTTTCTATAGATTTAATCATTTAATCTAATAATCTTTTAATAAGGATATTAACGGGAAGCTGGGTGTGAGTTCAGCACAAAAACCTTGACTATGCATAAATTGTAGCAAAGACGCAATGTTTATGCATTGTAGTTGTTGTGTTGGAGAAAAACAGCCCTTCCAGATTAAATAAGGCCCGGAGATACAAAGTCGTGCAAGCGTTGTAACTTTTCTTGTTTGGACGACTCAAGGTCATTACTAGGATAGTCCTAAAATGAATACGGCTAAACGCAACGTCCTTATCGTACAAATATACGATGCCATGGTTTGCGAAACGACACCATGTACAAACCTATTACATTAAGGGATAACTGACATTCTTTCTGCAGTTAGGAAAGAATCAGATTGACATGAAAAAAAAAACACTGATTAAATAAAATGTTAATATTAATAGTACGTGTAATGTTTCGTCAACGACACATAAGAATCCACTCGATGTCATCATGAATTGTCATACTGATTCATTCTGGCTATACCTGAGCATGTAGTTTGCATTGTATTTGTACACTCGATTTCTTTCGGGCAGAAGATTTTTTAGGACAAATTGGCATCCGGCTAATTAGGTATTGTTGCCGGCCTAGTCTGATAGTAAATTATGCATATTCAAGTGCATCTAGGTATTAGTGACTGCCTATAAAATAAAGCAAGCTTTCATTTATTGAAACTATCAATTTTCAATGAAAGCAACCTAAGTCTTCATTTAAATTCAATGTAAAGTATAGTTGGAAATATTAGAATAAAAGAGAAGGTTCTTAGGAACGTAAACAACTATTTTTGGTATTGAGTTATGTTTCGTGACGTGTACAGGATCCCATTGGCTGATTGCTGCCCAGACGCGACTTCCTGGGGTTTCCTAGCAAATCATAAGCACTCGCTGTACGTAGGAAAGCAATAAAATTATCGAATAAAATAGCGTAGATTACTTTGACTCTGAAACGAGGTATTATCGATTGGCGGCAGTTCACTGTTCCGACATTTCGACGATTGCGCAGATTCTAAAGGTGTTTGGGAGATTTGCCTTTGACAAACGGAAACATAATAGTACGCTAGGCGATCACAACGCAGTATATTTAGACCTTCTTTTGACATCTTTAAAATTAGACTCTACATATATTGGCTTCTTTCGTCGGCAATCAACTTTTCGAACGTTTTGTGCGCTCCCTTGACACCAGTTAGCCGAAACATGATCGTGACGAAGAAAGTGCGAACGACGTTTATGTTCAAAAGCGCACAACCTTCGCCAGCTTACACCAGCTTGTATAAACACTGATGGAACATTCTTTTTTTATATATAGAATCCAAATGTGCATGTTGCACCCTACGTATCAGTTATTTAAGGTATCACTATTACTATGAAGATCTTAGTGGCAAAGTCTATAATCATCGGTTTTTGAATCGAAGACTGTCCTCGGTGGTCGTATCGAGTTGGCTACTCACACATAATGTAGATGTGGACGATCGACGTCATCTATTCTAACACATGTAATAATAAATAACACGCTTTCAGCTAAACAGCAGACGACAGAATAATAACGGTCATAACGTTTGTATGGTCTGTGCTAAGTTCGATCAATTATTGATTTACTGCATTCGGAAGGCAGCCTGCCGTGTTGAAAGGGTAGCAATGAATAAACCATGCTCCGAGAGGCGTGACTGCTCCTTTAGAAATGCTTCGTAAAAACTCTTACAATGAAAACGCGCATTACTTTGAGTTTACGCATATCGTTTAACATACCCAAGGCCCCCCTCCCAATAAAATTCTAAAGCTCGTAGGCGATTTGGCAACGCTTAATAAATCGCGAAAACAAAAACTAAGATAAGCCCTATTTTTACTCAAGAAGCTATTTTGCAGGCATTGCCTATTCCGGAAGCCGATTGTAGAATGCTGGCAAAAGTAAATGTGCCCTCACTATTGGTGAAAGCACTCGCTCAATAATGATATTCAGAAACTATTCCATCTACGTATTATCGGTGTACAATGCTAGCTATTCCGTCATTTGTTTGACGACATCGCGTACTGATTTGCAAAGAGGACTACGAGGTGTTGGGAAGTAAGGAGAGTTCCTTAAGACATCGATGTTCAAGATCTAGGGACGTGACCACCGATTCGTACCTGCGTGGGAGGTAACTATTAATTACCTGGCGGTTGGATGGTTGTAATAAGTCAATCAACTGTTTGTGATCAATTGTTTTGCGTTGATCCATCCGGATAATCTAACTAGGTTTCCAAGCAGTGCCCCTAATGCGTGGTCACTAATAGCAGACCTTGTATGTAATGAGCTTGAAATTTCTTTAGGTTTACACATCTAGTTTTGGATATTGTAACGTGCTGGAACCAGTGTCATCTGGCATCACTTATAGGACTGGGCTAAAGCTTATTACAATGATTCAGGGATTTTCCTGCATTTGAGCGTTTGCGCGTGTCAGCAACTAGAACGAGTAACGTGGTCCGTATATCGAAAATGTTAATCTACTTATGGACCTATCAGCTATCTTCTCTGCCTGCTCTGTTGCTGGCAGTAATGAAACACTTTCGGTATTATTCATAAATATTCATCCCACCGTAGATTCTGCAGAAAGCAAATCTTCCACTAGTCCGATTGCAAGCTGTTTCAGACGCCGGAAACTAAATGGCAAAGTCTTCATCGTGCAAGTAAAACATGCAGACATTCTGCACAGACGTATTACGATCGATATTAACTGATAATTGGATTTGTAATTAGAACATAAGCAAGTTGAAGTAGAGTCAAGATAAGTAATTAATAATAATAGGCAATTTAAATGTACACCGGGAGAAACAGGATATCGCCATGAATTATCGTAATTATTCTACTGGTCCTATCTGGGCCTGTGGTTTGCATCACATCGATATACAAGTTCTCACTCAGAACAGCACTAGGCAAATTTTGTTGCAGTGCTTGGCTCTATTATTGTCTGTTTCTAGAATATGTAATGGGCTTACCACAATGAAAAATAATCGCTTCAATTTCAATATAAGCCGCACGTGAATTTCTGTCAATATTTTTTATCTTTGCAGAACACATTTGTGTTTTTTTCATATACATAGTTCAGTAAAGGGACATAAATTGTTTAGGCGCATCTGTATATTATCATCTGCTAATACGCTATATAACAATATATAAATAATCATAGTCAGTTTTATGTTGATATTTTGTACTCAAGTTTCACTGAACGTGTTCATACATACATACCTATTCTATACTATTTCTCCTGGGTGTAAAAATAGCCTCACTCTACAGAGGTAAATATCTCATCGCTACTCAGTATCGTATCAGTATCTCAATGTTACTAGACAAGCCTGCGGCCGCATATCTCCCATAAAGCTCTGAAGGAAAACAACCTGCAAAGACATCGTCAAAAAATCACAATGAGCAGGGCTTACATGTTTTAGAAATACATAATCGTACGATGTGTTCAGACCACAATTCGACTGAAGAAGATGGTCACACATATGGGAGTCTCTGAATTGATAAAAACTGCGTAGTATAGTTTTGGATATGTTGAATTATATTCGGGTAAACGTTAGATTGTCAATCATTCCGAAAAGATGGTGCATAAACCGGCTTTTTTTATTTTTCTTTTCACTTAGAATGTTGGATGATTTTTAATTTTACCTGTAACCAGTAGTAGGTCACTAAATAGGAGCGAGAGCACTAGTATCTCAGTAAATACAACTCTTGCTTGTAACTGTAGAGTGCCGAAATTCTCATCGTTGTCACACAAATACTAATAAATATACTAATTCCTCCATAATGTTGTTTCCTTTATTTAATCGCCCTTCATAATATAGACTTCAGATGAATCATTACAGAATATACTTGCTTCTTTCGTTTCTATATCCGGATACTTACACTTATACAAAACCTGAAAAAAATATTTCGATCAAACGCTATATGTATCGGCGCATGAGAAAAATACAAAATTTATGCGGCTAGCAAAGAATGATTGACCGTTTGCGCGAGCGCACCGCGATCACGGTAAAATAACATAGTCCGTCACTGTTGAGCACCAATATATATATAGGGGCGAAAATTGCAATAAAGGTGCAATCAATCAAGCGAGACAACATAAACTATGGCATACAATAACAAAAACTCTTGTGAAAATAGCATGTCCTCAAAGAAGCGAAAGCTATAATTTATTTGCATCAATGCACATTGTACTATCTATTATGTGTGACAACTGGGCTGGCCATAAACAAATTGCAAAAAAATCATATTTGGAATAATAAAAACGCCGAGTTTCTTTGTTGAGGATATTCAGTTCAGAGTTATAAATAGGCAACTCAGAAAAATGGTGGTGAATGAAAAGTATTTAATGTATTTGTTAATTTTTCCATTACGATAACTATGAGGAATAATCGTATCCGTTGTAGTGACGAGTATGACGGTTATGTCCGGGACCTCGTTGCGATCTAGCAAAAGTGGGGACTAGCCTGAGTCAACTCGAAAATCACTAGACAACCCGTCATATATTAAACAGCCTGCATTTATATTGTTGTACCTTCTATTGTAGAAAACTTCCAAATAGCAATAAGAGATTTATTATGAATCGGCAGAGCACCGAAGCCGTTACAGGAGAACTGACGCTGTTATTCATTCTGGTCCGTTTTTCTTCTGCCACGTGATTTTTTTCCCTGTGTAAACTCGAGGCGAACGAACAGCATTGGTAAATACGCAAGTAGAAGAAAACATACAGTCTATCATATTATAGACGATACCTATATATAGACGTTATTGTTTGTAATCGTGACTTTCCGAGGAAAAAGCTAATGGATATGTTCTTTGTGCCACCTGTTTTTTACAATCGCCTTTGCTTTTGCTACTGATCTGAACTCTAGCGCAGATGTTGAGCCGTTGTCCTCATCTAACGATAGCTCTAAAACAGCTGAATATTGAATGATGATACTCAAAAGTATCTCGAAAACCTTGGGCTAGTAATCTATCGCAGCCAACTGAATAAAAAAAAAGAAGAAAAAAACGGCGGGTTCTTATTTCGGAAACGGACAAAAGTGAGCATTATGTAAAGATCGACGAAGTATTTCATAAAAATGGCACCCGTGGTGATCAGGCTTGTCTTTCACGGAAGAGACGTGAAAATCTCAAGTGGTAGGTTAACCTGGAAATCTCTGGGAGTTTATGAGAAAGGTCAGGGTTACTCGGCGACTTGACAAGCCTTCGAAACCCGTTGAGGCTGAGAGGATCCACGAAATCGATTTAGTAAAAGAGAGCCTTATCGATTTCACACCCCGAAGTCTGACCCAAACAGAGTAGAGAGTGTTGTTAAACTGTGCAATAAGTCGCGATTAGCAGCATCGCAATACGGTAAAGCTCACCGAATCCGCTACGCGTAAGAAATTCCCTTTTGTTTTATGATCTAATGTTTGTTATTGATGTGGCAAGAAGTCAGTTGCAGTATTCTATATAAGACAGTATATTTGCGGTAGACGTACAGGCTGTTGTTTGTTTTTGTTGGGATAAATTAAAAAGGATTGCATCCTAACTACGATGTAAAAATTTATCAGTGTTCAAGCTTCAACATTCAACGATCTGTTAACCATTTTTATTTGTAAAGCTATATTCTATATAGATGGCAAGCGGAACCAATAAGTGACACACTTGCCCTAAGTTGAAAAACAGTTTCAGTACGCAATTCCTTTAATTAATATAAGAGCAAATGTTGTATGTCGTATAATGATTTGGAGGCTGCATGGCTACGAAGCCTCGCGCACATCTCACGGTTTCCGTAGTAGTGATATCTGAAGAGGCTCTGAAGTCGGAAGCTGTGTTGCAGTTCGGACCGGTAATCGGTCAAGAAAAACTGTATTCATTAATTATGCAAGCACAATACTATACACATGAAGCAATAATTAATAAATGTATACTTTTTGGTCTCCGTTACCTATTAGCACATATTCGCTGTTTTTAACTGCTTTAACTATTTTTTTTTTTTTACTTTTTACCGGGCTGCTGCATGAATATGAAGTACGTCCGGCTGCCGTCCTTGGCATTTGGTCCAATCGAAGCGGCATATTGGGCCGTTCAAATAGGCAATTTTCTCTCTGTAAGATGCTTCGTTCCGCAAAAATTCGACCTTATAAAGGCTACTATTGAAACGCTGCTGGAAATTTTACTATAGGCTGGAGACGAATGCACCCGAAAGAATCACGAACTATGAATTTGTTTAGTTCCCGTTTTTCTACATCGCTGTTACTTCGAATGAACTAATCGACGTAACGAGCGTTCAACATAGTCTGTTTAGCATTACTTCAACGATATGTCAAGTAAGTGCTTGACAGATGATTCAGTGTATTCTCGTGACGGTGCAGCGGTAACGTGTCTCCCTAATAAACTTACAACTGGTGCCTTGGATTCGAGGCAGACAAAGATACATCATGCAAGCTTCATGCTAGGAGCCAGTTCTCTGGGGCAATGCTTAGGACCGGACGTGAAACTCGAAACATTTCTTCACTAAGCTATTTAGTCCATATATAGACTTACCTGAAAAGCCCTTAACCCTACACCAGTGGAAACCCTATATTTCGTGAATGGGTTGGCCATATAATTAATCATTTATGCAACAGAAGTCCATACAACACTGTCCGTTATAATTATGCTATATTTTTATACGTGTTCTCCTGAACAGACTGCCAAACCAATACAAACCCGACTTGCTCTGGATTTATAAACAAAGAACCTTGTTGACTATTTGAGTTTCTTTTTAAAACTAAATTCTTTGCTCTAGCTAGGCTATTCAGTCTCATTTCATGCCAGCAGGCCTACATACACTCTGTCTAATTTGTGGCGTAGCATTGAACGTTACTTAATAATAACTCTATATTCTCCGATAATTTATCTGTATTGTCTCCAATCCGGAAATCCGCTAAGCCACGAAGACTTCCGCTGCGTTCCCACTCTGTGTGAAATACGCTTCTTCACAGAACAGTTGAATTGCATCCTTCTGGATGTGTACTGTTTTTATATTTTTACGTGTAATTTCTTAAACCTAACTAATCGCTAGCTTGTTTTTCGGTTAGTTGTGTAGTTCGTGCAGACATCGTTTTCATAAATTTCTCCGAAATAACTGCTGTAAAATTGTACTCTCTCCGCAAGTTGTGATTACCGAAGTTTAGTTACTACAAAATTTTAAAACGTCAAATCTGTCGGCCGTGAGCAGCATCTAGCTGCTCGAATCGATAGACACAACGTGTAAAAAGACCATTTCTTGTATATGCAGTCACGGAAATATAATGTTCTATCAAGTAAAATTTAATTATTATTATGATTTCACGGTTGGATTCGCTCGTCTTAGTTTGGCGCAAAAGTTTAATTGCAAGCATCGCGGCTACCTAGTGCTTAAAAACCATTAATAACAAACGGATACGGTTAGATGATACATATCGTAAACGAGATACTAATATGTATGACTACTGAAATATTGCTGATACAACTGACGCAATATTTCGATAGTTTTGTTGCAAAGTAACACTTTCATTGAAGTTTTAAGCGGCTTTATAGCAAAATAACTTATACGGCTTAAGGAAGACCTCCGAATATGACGACATATATTCTCTCGTGCCCCCTATTTCAGTCTAATGTAAAGTTTAGGAAGCCAATTGTTTCATAAATGACATCAATACCGACAAGCAGAAATTAGCGTTCTGCTTGAGGGCCATATCCAAACGCGCTGTATGATATACGATATTTTTTACGTGTAATTTCGTGGTATTCCGCGGGAACAGATGTTGAATTTATCGTAGGCAACGATATGAAAAATCTGAGCATCTACATTGGATATGAAACATTTATTTGAATATAACATCCGATACTGCCGTTAACCATTGCTTTACGAAATAAAGTGTATTTAAACACAATGGAAAGGTGCGGGAAGGGTCGTTCCGTTCACCTGTACGTGTTTTCTCTTAAAGAAAGTTCTCAATGACGATCGAAGATGGCGTTCGCATATCTGCTATTTCATTCTCGACCATCCACAACAGAGCTTATTAGACTCACCGTTTGCACAGCTGAATACGCTAACAGATATACCACGTCTTGGAGTGTATTCAACAGATTGAATTTTGGCGGTTTTGGTAGCAAAAGATCAGGCTCTTACGCTTGGTGAAAACGCAGGACGTTAACAGTTAACTCGGCCAAATACCATTTTGTAGATATCTGTCAAGTTCTCGGAAGCCGTGTAATATGTTTACAGGTTCTTGACAGAATGGCAGCGGAAGCTGATATCGTTATTGGTAATAGCTAAGTTTTTAAAAATACCATGCTCAGAAACAGCCATAGCACCCTTTGTTCTGGGACCACTATACTCAGATGTAGGTTAAATATTTAACGAGAACATTTCGATGTCTATGTCCGTACAACTTCGAAGGGTGCTCTATAGATATTGCTACATTCACTAACGTTTTCCAAAGGCGCTCTGTTTGAAGTCGTGACATAGTCCTCAAACGTGGCTCTCATTTGAAGTCTATCTTCAAACTTTACCGAGGTCACTCTTATATGATATTGAAGTTTCGTTGTTGGTTCGCCTCGTTAATCCGCTTAATGGAAAGGAAAAGCCCTACATTCCTTGTTTCATATCGAGTACGTGTATCCACGCGACCTTCATTATATTCTTCGTCTTCCTGCGAACCGTATTATTCATAAATTGCACCTCAATAAGTTCTATTGCCGCCTAGGTACTTACATAGCAGGCTGGTACTCAACTGTACAAGGTATAGTCTTGTCTAAGAGAAATATACGATACTATCAAGTTATATCATAAGCAGTATAACCATACAAATGAGCACGGTTTAGGTCTATACGTAATCTCCAAAATATCAAGTGGACGCAGCTCTTTTGGCGTTGAATCACAATAGTGTAACAGGTTGCTATGTAAGTTATGAGGTATTGAAATTATGAAGCTTTGTTATCGTACAATTCAAAGCAAATGTTCTGTAAAGACAATGTTATCTTCAAAATTGGTAAGGAAATTGCAGCACACACAGTGGCAACTTTTGTTAGTTTTTTTCATACGAATACTCCGTAATGGCTAACGAGTTCTCTTCGAGAAATCTATGAGTTCATTGTTTAATATATACTTACCATAATATAATGTGTAGCCATCGCAAAGGTCTTGGCGTCTGTAGCATTTTCGAGTTAACGTTTCGTGTTTCGTTGTGTTACGGCCACCTATATATAGTGCACAGACTACCTTAACATATAGGCTAAGATTCATGATAGCGCGCAAGACAAAGCTGTCTTGTGAAAACCATGTGATTGAACACCGAGCTAAGAAAGAAGGCTAAAAAAGTATATAAATAAAATATATTAATTGGTAATTAATTATAAACAGTGAAGTATGTATTATAATGGATGTTCGTAACATTGTTTATTTCCTCCGGTCTTCACACGTCGATATACTTTTGTTTACAATAATCGGTCCTCCGATGTATCCTTTCGATTTCAATGGCAATTTCCGTAATGTCTGCAACTCATGTTCAGGGTGAAGATTCCGAGGAGGCTTAAGCCTAATGTTTGCTAACCCGTTAGCGATCAAATCAAAGTTGTGAACCTTCAGAACGCCTAAAGCTTATCAGTACTTCGTAACACACGATAATCTAAGTCCGAATTTGGGCATTGATTGGCGCACTTCGTTTCGTACTGGAAGCCACTCGGCTGGTGGGGTGTCTCGATGGATACATTTAGTACCGTGTAACAACAAAAGAAGACCATATGGTAGGTTACATTTTTTCGCACGTACGAACCTTGTCTTTAGCGCTAATATCTCTCACCGCGACTGGCGTCTCTAGAGCGTTTACAGTCGCTGGTGCGTACGTTACACGCCTAATTAAGATTGATTTTTTTAGTCGCTATTTAATTAATTCCGTAGTTCTAAAGGTTGTGCTGAAAAGTGCCACGCTCTATGGTAGCAGATTAGGAAGCTAAAGGTAAAATTAGACGAAACACATTTCTAATGATTGTATTATAATGTTATTAGATGTATACCTCTTAGGCGGATATCTAGGAAAGAGAACGATCTTTTAAGCTACACCTTTCGGTCCGCCTTATTGTTTTTAAATAACACGTTTTCATACGGGTAAAGTCGGGTGGGCTGCTCTAATTTCGTACAGATTCCAACCTTTCTGGTCTTATTTACTTCGGTTTTGCAACTGTTCGAGATTTCCAATTGGCAATAGCCGATATTGTTATGATCTGGTAGAGAAATATCGTTCGCCCTTGTCGACCCATTCGATTTGTGGGCTTGGTCCGTCGGCAAAGAGTAATTCATTTATGTGAACGAAGGAAATAGTTTACCTATAATAGTTAAGCTGATATTGGCTTTAGATGGTAGTATTGTCACAATCTGGAAGCTCAATTGTGAGCAGGAAGACAAGGCACGTTTTGGCCGACTTTGGTGGCTGTAGTTTCAACGTCGTTTCAACTGGGACTTGGAAAATGAAAACTTCATTTCTTTAAGGGTTTCGTCTGTTTTGGTGAAGCTGAAATAGTTATGTCGGAAAAGGATTCTGTGGTGAAATGACGATAGCCAAGGAAAAGGAGCGTGATTGGAAAGCCACCAACGCGTATTTAGCTCAACGGTTACTGCGAAGAACTTTATATTGAACCTCGTCACGTTAAATCGAAGGGTCAAACGTGACTGTAACTTAAGGTGATTTGTGTTAATCAAGTTATTTGAATAGTTAGCCCAATCAGAATATATATTAGATAACTTCATTAAGTGTGCGGATAGATGGTACAGCTGTGGCGCTTTCAAGGATATTAAGGAAACAACGCAAAACTATAAAAATTGGCGGAAACAAAACATTTGCAAAAAAAGCATTAAGAATTGACATTTAATTATGAACTGTGTAATTTTACTCCGACGTCAAAATAAAAGTGATCTTGACTTTTCTGTATTTTTACTATACATCTAGCTGGACGTCATCTCGTATATGCTGGTCATGGTGACATAAGAGCGTCGCAAATATATAAAGACGATAATGATTCAATCGTTATTGTTTAGGAGGGCAGACGTCCTTAGGTACTGATCATTTAGTTACAAATGACAGCGTTCAAATATTTAGTAATGCTATACGAATAATGAGAGAAATCTTAAAGGCATAATAGGCGATTGCTTAAACCCAAAAACATATTGTTATTGTTCTGCCGCTAGATCATCGGACGATTCTCTGCACCGTCCACTGTAGAGAACTTCAGCGTTCGCACAAATCGTCTCACACAAATTTGTATAAGTTCTTGGAGATTTTCCTTGTTCCTGGGCGCAGACCTTTTCAAGTCCCATTCGGCGGCGCGTACAAACACATGATTGTCTCATTACTGAAATGAAATGATTTCCTACTTTAATTAAGCAAGGGTCAGGGCATTAGTAAGTTAAATGCTCAAGCGAGACTCCAACTAACAAGTTAGCCAATTTCACCTAGTTACCGAATAGTTAACTGAACTGATAATGATCCTGTAGAATGTTTCATTCAGGCAGTTAGCTACATCTATTTCCAACAGAAGTTCCTGCTCATTGACGAAGGGGGAATGGTTTGTTGCAGAAAATTGTAGAAAAGCAACTCGTCTATAAATTACTTTTATGCGATTGATATCTATAAATCTGTGGCGTGATAGGCTATTGGTCGTAGTTTCCACATGTATTTTCGAAACAGAATGGCATCTGTTATGTTCGTATGGTCGCACAAGTTTCACTTCGTAGAAATTCTGTCTCAGCCACTTATAAACTGTAGTCACATACTGCAGGCCGTCGTTGAATCGACAGATACGAGCGTTGTAATAAGGAGCGTAGTCACCGTCAGGTGCATAAGGAAACGTAGACGCCTGGATGTCATTTTAGACTCCATATCTACCGTTGCTCTGCTACAATGCCTGAAAGCTCAATGTTTACACCTAATCATATTGCTGAAGGTAAGATCTTATATTTAAAGCAGTATCAGAAAATATCGGCTATTTCACAAACGATCTGTGTTTACATTAACTATTATGGGCCAACATTTGGAACGCTCATCTCTTCACTTTTACCGTGATTCTATTGCAGCTTACTGTTAGGGAATCAGACGCGGTACAAGTATGACCACGTTAGTTTCATGAGAAAATTTCTGACATCTGGTTTTAAGAGTTCTATTCGCTCAAGGGCGTCGTGAGTTTGAATAGTTTCTGAAAAAACGGACACGGACCCTTCGAAGTAAGGATAAGTTTCATTGGAACTGTACGTAGCAATGATCTTTGAAGGCTCATACTAACAGATGCTAACTTCAGACAGGGTCATTGATGGGCCCCTAACTTCTTCGGCAGGACGGACCGTACTTTAATGCATTCGTTCCGTTGGTGTAATAATAAATCAACGTTACTTATGTCATTTTCAAAGAAGTTGAGCATATGGGCAAACACATTCTGAAACACTTTTTCAAATATGGAATGGTAATCAACCTATGGTTTATATTTTTTAATGCGCATAAAAGACCAGCTGTTTTAACAAGCCTCCACGAATGCGTCGTCCCATACCATATAAAATAGGCCGCTTTCTATGCTACTTTGTTTTTGCTATTTACCTTTTATACTGATAAGGTGAAGCGGGAGACACGGCAACGAAAGTAGTGAAAAAAATTAAATCATCCTATACTCTTAGCGCGTTTTAGATGGCAAAAACGGCAATGCTTAACCAATTGCAAGATGCTTATTTATTTATGGGTATGTTTAGGCACAATTTGAGCATGTTTCGATAACATTGATGACCAGCGTTTCAAAATGATTAGCCCGTCTGTCTGATCTTCAGAGCGGCACAAATCAATTGTTGGATAAAATTGTGATTGAGGAGGTTTCTCACAAATAAGCTTACCCGTTTAAAAGCCCAATATTTCGTTGCCTCAATTTTATTGGCTGAGATTCTGCGTAGCTGTTGGTGACAGGCCGTTTACTTCAGATTAGCTGCTTGATACAGTTCAGATATCGTATAATTGTCTTCAGAGCAGGGTTATACGTAAAATATTTTCTTGTCTAATCGCATGCATCGCAGCAGTCGCACGCATATAGCAAAAAGAAATATCAATTTCAGATACTTAATAACTGTCAAGGAGTAACAATTTCTTCAGTACGCACAGCTACACGTAATTGGGTTCAGCTCGTTTAGCCTGGGAAAAAGTCTGTCTAAGGATTGTACTTTTTCAAAACATTCATTCGTCAACGTAACACATTATTTCAACTTGGGTCCTGTTTGTGTTTCTATGCACGGAAAGACTATCTACACTGTAATTCTCTGTAATACAAGTCACATCTCTTGTTAGTGTTGCTTATATGGTGATTCTACAGCCGGGGGCTAACAAGACGTGAACGCTTTCCAATTAGACCGTCAAACCGATTCCTAAAAAATCTTTTTGATAATGGCTTTACGAATCGTTCATCACCTCGATGGGTTCAACGGTGGACAATCAAGAAGGCTGTGGGTGTTGGACGGTCCACTTTGGTAGGTTATCTGTGCGAGGATAAAGAATTCCCATTTTGGATCATAAGCCTGCAAACGTAAGCACAGGTATCGCTGGCTAGGTGAAGGAAAGCGAGTGGCTGATTCACAAAGAAAAGAAAAGATAAGAGAAGGGGGCTGGCATGACGCGTACGAGACCGGTTGGCCGCTCTGCCGCAAGCTGGCCACGACTCTGTCAATTCTTTCCGATGTCACAATGCTGTTATTGTAGAATGGGGAGTGTTAGTGAGCACTAGAGGCATTACGTCAGCTTATGTCCTCACGACGTATTGGCGCCGACTTGCCCTTGGCGTTAGGGCAACGCTAGCGAGGAAACCAAGCGTGAAGCGGAGAGATACCGGTGGAGAGATAACTCCAAAAAAAAAACACTAGAACATCACCGTTATAAAGACGTTGCCGAGCGAAAAGAAAAAACTAGGAAAAACTAGAAGGAGACTGATACAGGCGCCCGTATACGAACACAAATAAGTTCTAGAAGGGTTTTAGGGAGACGCAAACGTGGCACAGCTAAAGTGTGATATCAGTAGGGTCGCAGTTTAAGCATTGCTTGTTACCATTAACTGTCCCTGAAAGCTTCGATGATGGTGGCATTAAAAGTTTGTCATATTTGTTCTGTCCGATATCCTTCAAACGATCAGTACGAAACGTATGAGGTCACGTCTTAACACAAAGCGGAACTGCTTTGAAAAGGAGGCTAGATAGCGTGAGAAACATTCTATTGCATGGCCGCGTGAGTTCTTAATCTCCTGCGTCTAAGCGTAACCAATTGGAAAACCGTTGAAATTTCTAAAACATTATTTTCTATTATATAATTGGGTTTGCTTTCCCATTTATTCACAAGACTCTACTTTGTTCAAACAACTGATTTACTTACTGATCTTTAGAGTATTTTTAAAGTTTTTTTTTCTTATTAGTAAACAAAATATCTAGCAATCACTCCAGTAACTGCATATCGGATTAGTCGTTATTTGTGGGAACGACTAGTGATCGCTGTTGTGTTGGTCCATTTTTTTTTTATCCTGCGAGACATCTTTTGCAGAAGATAACTAACTGGCCTTTTGTCGTTAATTGCTCGTTTCAAACGAATCGTTCAAACGAATAATGTTATTTAGCAACTTGGCGGTAGATTCTCCCATTCATTTTTACATTTCGATAGACACCATCTAAACGGTCTCTTCTGTTGCCGTTCTATGCGTTGCTTCACCAAGCTTTCCATCGCTCTTCCATCCGCCTGCACTCGTTGTCTCGGCATTTGGGATCCTAAACGTACCATTCGAAATTAAATCTAAGATAGTGTTATCATGTGGTTCGGGAACAGAGCGCATCGATACAGGATTTTTGGCGGCTCCCTTGAGCGTATTTTATTCACAGTTTTAGAATGCTTCAAAGATGACATCGTCGACCTGTTCGGTGACACAAGCGCCGAAAAAAAAAATCCGTTAAAACAGTTGAGATTGCGTTGACTAGCAAGCGAGTTACGTCGGAGGAACTGCTATGTCTGACCGCACCCCCAATGTACAATGGGCATAAGCTAAACTGTTCCATAAAAAATTTCCATGTTTCGATCGTCTTCCGTTTTTAGTGTACATGTAATAATTTTGAACCTAAATAAGAAAGAAAATGAATAATCATTAAATGTTCACATGTTAAACATGGAAATATGATTTTTTTTTCAATTTATGTAACAAGCACACATGATGCTCATTTATAACCAACCATCTACGCAGTGGTTTATGTGACAATGACCAAATGTAAAAAAAACTTTTGTGGAATCTTGGTACCAAGATTGGATTTTTGCGAGAAAAAATATCGGTGTAGCTGATTGTGTCATGATAACATTTTTACTCTATGATACCTGCTTTGCTATGATGAAACTAAGCACTCCATGTAGCATGTACTGGCTGAGTTACGGAATATAATTTGTCTAATACAAATGCAATAATTATACTACAGAACGTATTTTGGTGAAGGGACACAGCTGTTTCCGAAAAACAGGTCTTAACCCAAACTATATTTATAATTAGGTTTAGTAAGATTCGGATTCCCGGCGAATGCAATCACAACACCAAAACTCAATGGGTGTGGTCATGAGATAAGATCTACTTTTCTTTTTCCACTGTACGGCAAAAGAGTTGTTCTGTTACCGATTAAACCGTTTAAATGGTTGGAACAAAAAAAGGTTTTACAATATACTTGTAGCGCTTGGGCAAGCTTACGGTGGATTTTTGAAATCTCCGTTAGTAATTAACGTCACCAATGACGTGAGCGGCGTCGTGTTCGTTACAGTATTGTGTTAAGTAAGTAAATGGCAGTTTATCTTAAGGCACCATCATCGTTGAGCGCTACAACCTAAATGGGTGGTTTCAGCAAATGAGCTATCAGCCGGTATATGCTTTGTACCCTGAGAGGTAAGCTACATACTGCAATTGATCTCTAGCTGAGACCCACCCCAGCTGGGCTTTAGCCTTTAGTGAAGATAAGTTTAAAATGTACAACATGTGTATGTGAAGTGTCGTACTTTTTTTGCTAGACATTTCGTTCTACCTAAATTCAAATTGCTTCTTAAGTTTTTTTGAAACTGAAACGAGATGAAATCGTTGCGCACGAAAATGTATTGTTTTCTTGCGGGTAAAATATATTATTGAAAACTGAGATCGATAATCAAAACGTAACGATAACTGCATTCAGAAGCCAAATCGGTCAAAACGATTAGCTGCACACGGGCTAGCGTTTCAATTGATAACCAGCTTTACGAAACAACAAGAAGATCGACATATTGATTCTCACGCAAATTATTTGTTAAATGTAAATTCAATCTATAGACACATGTGGAGTGCGTACGGTGCAAAATTATATCATCGGTGTGTGTATATACAATAACGAGACGAGGCGTCAGTTCATGAAACCCCTTTCCTCAGTTACATAAGCGGTCTATTTGTACACGAAGCATAATGATAGAATAAAGTTTAAATGCACGCCACTTCAGTGAGTACAATTGAATCGTCTGTGAATAAATGAATGAATAAAAATTCATTTTTATTAGCTGTTTGTTAACAGCTAACTAAAAAATTGCTTTTACGTTCATTTGTGCTGCAAATGCTGCTAGCATTAATACTCCTACTGGAATCAATTGGCGTTACGTAGTTGTCAGTGTGTTTCTATGTATATATATGAGAAAGAGAGAAAGAACCGAAATGAACGACGGTCGTCTGAGAAGCGAATCGATTTTCGGATTGCTTCAATCTCCAGACGACTAACAGGGCGCGACCGCGTCCGCGTGTATGCACTTTTTCAACGAAATCTGGAAGGTCTCAACAAATATGTGTGAAGACTGTAAT